TATATATATATATATATCCACTCATCAAGAATTGATCTGGATTGGAAGACTCTCCGTGGGTTTTCCTCTCCAACACACACCGGTAGTGTATCATCCATTACCTTGACAACTGAAATTCCTAACATTTATTCTGTCCCTGTTTGTAACACCCGCTCCACTTTTTGTGTTTAGTGTCTGTGTATGAAATGACGTTTGTCTGGCCTTATCACTTCACCCATTTGGTCTTGAGGTCATCCGACCATTTGTAGCCGACTTTGTGCACGTGACTGTCGCACGTGGGAGCCTGTTTGCTCCTTTGGTTCGTACTTTTGTGGTCCAAGTGAACCATTTGTTTTGGACGAGTGTCTACCGTCCAGGTTTGTATTTGTGAATTTGTCTTACATTAATAGTACCGTATAGAAAGCAAGCTCCGATTTTGTTTCGCCTTCCCGGAGGTTCTGGTATTACGCGTCCCTCGAAGATACCGTTCGCCCGTTACAGGTTGTTATACAAATACCTAAGCAGACAATATTCAGCACGTTGCCACATAAGGTGAATGCTGGCACAGGCTGTTATCAGTCCTAGAGAAGAGCTTTGCACTGTCACGGAACCAAGGCATCCTTTAAACCTATAAATATCGCCCTTTCTAGTCCCAGGAGCCCATCCAATGAAAAGACATCTTAACGTGGTCATGTCAGTTGGCAATTAATATTGAAAATCGGTCCCATAACTTCAGTTGAAAATTAGTGGAACAGATGTCACCGGCTAGGAACATAAGGTGAAACTGGCTGAGGGTCTTTCACCTATGCTCCAACTTGAAACCTCGACTAGCCCCTATTCTGATAACTGGCACCACTAAAGGTTTAATGATAAAAATAAATAATAAATAATCGTTCAGCACTAGCACCCTTTCGGTGCCCAGTTGTCAAGCCAACGGAGAAAGGCACGTGAGCGGGGATATTGCTAGGTGTCCCAAGCCTAGACAGGAGCAGTCGAGATGTTGAAGTTGGGTTCAAACCATGGTTCTTCCGGTCCGTAAGCTGGCGCCTTAACCACTGATCTACCTCGAGCTCTAAAGGTTTATTACCTACGAATGATTTGTAGCTAAACGGTGGAATAGCCAGTGGGGATACAAGGAAAAGCAGACTCACAGCAGCAACCTGGAACAGCGTACGGATGATGTCTGCGTCCGCAACAAGTTCTTCTTTGACTTCAGCATTCAAACTAAGGTAAGCAAGACCTTCAATAGCCCATCGCACTGTTTCAGATTCCTTCAAATGGGACAATGGAGCACCACCTGTCATAAGACATGACCTTCTCAGGCGTGTTTTCATCGTTGACCCGCCTTCCTCTTCGGATTCACTGTCTGTGTCATCGTTGACCAGCAACTCTCCCGATTCTGAAACCTCGGCTCGACATTGACGCGCTGGCGCCACTTCATCGATTGTCGGCTCTCGTTGTTCGATCCCCAGCAACAATCGGCGGCAAGCAAGGACAAGGCTAGCTGTTGACCCTTCCGTCAAACTCTTTATCGTAGCATCTGACCCTCCAGCAGCGCCAAATTTACACAAGGCCTTGATAGAAAGGACAAATAAAGTAATAAGGCTGATAACGACTGGAGTGGCTGAGTGTACTATTGCTGTCCACTTATTCGTGACACAGCAGGTTAGAAGTGCATGAGCATACTGTATCTAGCAAGAACACTGCTAAGCTAGACTAAGCAAGTCATACAGATATCCCATCAAGTTCACTCTTCCAGTCCCAACGGACGAAGTATCACGGAAATACCCTCATAAGCATCGGCGAATGCAGAGTCGATCATGGTAAAGACTATTTTGCCAGATTCTGCACACTGCTCCGGTTTAAGCGTTCCACGGGATGAGCTGCATGGCGTAATTGAAACATTCAGGGGAAACTAAAGAACTCAGGCACTTCAAACTGGTATCATTGTTCACAAATAAAGGATATAAAATTGCTCAGCTTTAGCACCTTTTCAGTGCCTAACTGCCACGCTCCCAGAAGAAAGCACGAGGATTGGAATAGCCTAGACAGAAGAAGTCGAGAAGCAGAGGTTAGATTCGAACTATGGACCCTCAGCTCATTAGATTCGCGCTCTAACCACTGAGCCATCTCACCCTAATGAAGAGTACAACAAAACGCCAAACACCATTTGCCACAGGATAACACCTATATGGCAGAAACTGTCGATCCTGGAAAGGTAAACATCAAGCGTTTTGTCCCAATTGGGACACTTTAGCAGGATTCGATCGTTTGGCATTTACGTTCAAACTTCACATTCTTAATCCCAGAATCAAGGGGTCATAGAGTAGATTAACTGAAACAGTTATTGCATGATTTAGCAAGTGTATGGAAACTCAGTCGGAATGAGTACTAATGAAGAACGAGGATAGTTTTCAACTTCCTAGTGATCTTAAAGAACATCCTGGTATCAACCAATCTGCAGGCTAGAAGTTTTTGCCAGTGATAGCTACGAAGCTAACATGGTCAGAGCATTGAAGCTGGTCTGTTGTGTCCCTGCACATCTCAGACGATGGAACCACTGTTCACTAAGTCCTAACACAAATGATTGTGCAAATATTAGAAGCATTACACTTCGCATTGACTACGCGGTGAATTCTGAACGAGCGTCGAAATATGTAGACCTAATGCGTCAGGGATCAAACTGGGAGTCATCCTGTAGCTACAAAAAACAGACTCGTAATAAAACAGCAACTCACCACTAGAGCTCGAATCCTGGTCCCGTCGTTTTCGCTCTTGTACAAATTTTGTAGAATTGGGACGGCCTTTGAAACGAGACTAAGGCACTGTTCCTTTTTATGGGTGGCCAAAATAATTGTGTCCAAAGCCACTGTCTATCATGAGAAAAAAGGAAGTTATCGTTTTTAACTAAGGTAACATAGTATCGATGTACACTTGCAGTGATGACAAAATCATAGAGTTCGGAGTCTAAATTTCAGATAAAACCCAAAAGTGTCTTGGGTGAAGTCGATTAGATACACCCATACGCTTCTCCAGAAGCTGCTATGCTGTCCTCAGTGTCTGAGCGGTGATGGAGAAGTAAATTCAGAAGTCCGACCAAAGTAACTTAAACTATTTCTTCACAACCAATCAGTTAACCAACTAACCGGCATATATCATGTGAACTACGTGGACTGACCTGATACAACATATTTGGGCATTGTGTCAATAAGAACAGCCCTTCCAGCACTCCTGGACGAGACAGTATGGATGACCCGACTTCGTAAGGGCCAAGAAACAGGGTTCCTATCACAGAAGCTGCTTCGACTTTGGTTTCAAGGAAGGGGTCAGAAAACAAATCGCTGAAAACAAAAGAGTAAGAGAGTGATGTTAAGTTAGGAAGACTCGTTAGAATACGCAATTTTGCAATATTTTTTTGTAATATTCAGGTAAACACGTGAAGAGTTATGCGAATATTTCATTCGGCTACAGGTCATTTTTGTCATGTTGAACCCACCCATTATTAGAAACTTCTCAAAGTTCCCCTATGGCGAATTCAACTCACTGGCAACTCTAAGTACCAGAATCTTCGCTGGAAACGAGAGATCACAAAATGTAAGGCAATAACCCGTAAAATATATCAGAACTCTCCTTAGTTCCGGAATGGATTTTAACTAGTAATGCGTTTCTGAAATCCTACCACCAAATAAAATAGGCTACGATTTCGAGAAACACACTCATTTGCAAATCAATTTGGTTTACACGAGAGACTCAACTGAATCTCTCTTTTATGATATGCTACAACTGAATGTGCTGCACACAGGCCGCCTCATGTTTCAGTTGGCACGATATTCGAGATATCGCAGTATATTTTCATAAAGGAAACTACTCACAAGGTTGCAGAGAACTCTTCGACAGCCCACAACCGATTTTGACCTTCTTGGGGCTCATCAGGTAGGCGCAGTCCCCGAATTTTCGTCAAGCAGAACATAAGGTTTATGGAAAGGCTATGATTTCTATCATTTATTTTAATTGTTTATGCTGGGTTCGGCCGTAGATTACTTCGAAGTTAGACTGCCCTTATCCATGTTAGCGATAATCTCTCCAACAGACCCGCATTGTGCTGCCTGAATCGTCACATCAATATTAAGGAAAGTCTTTGTACCCCATCCATACCATTCGTTAAACGGATTTCGGTTTCTATTCTGCTATCAAAGCACAGTAATAGAACTGGATGAAACTTCGGGACCGTGGCTTTATACAGAGGGGTAAATGAGACAAGTCAAGTGGTTTTTGAGGAACTCGCACGGTCATCGGGCAACAGAAGCCGGCAGTGGACAATGAGATTATGCAGTGAGTGACACCATGCCCACCTGATATCGTCAAGTAGCGAGCTTCCGATAACTGCCAGTCGTGATCTGGTCACTCGTCCATTTATTGGGTTGTGGGTCAAAACTGTGGGGTTTCCATGCGGTAAGGTGTACTCGGCCTATCGCTCAAGTCGAGAAGCACCGAGTAATGCAGTGTTAGGGAACACGGCAGGATGAATGTGGAATGACAGTGCAACGTGCATTGCAATAGGGACCATTTTGGCGAAGGCCATGAACATCATAAATAAAAATACATAACTGCAGCAATGAACGATGGTATTTGAAGGTCAAGGCAGGAGAATCCTGCAGTATATATCCCTTTGGTTACACACTGTCCAAGTGAAATAGCTACAGCACACTCGGCTCGAAAGAAATTTTCCTTCAACTGAGCTACAAGCTACAGCCTGTGGGGAAAATAATTTGATGAATATCCTGAGTGTGGACTAGCCTACCAGTCACCTTGTATGCTTAGGAAACGCGCTATCGAAACTTTAAGCTACGGTTAAAAAACGCATTAACAATAGAGTTCGAGAGATGTAGAGCCAACTGGTCAACCCAGAGAGCGAACAGTAACGACTACATGTAACAACACTTGGCTAGCCACCTGACTATCAGTTATGATAGGACAACGGAGGAGCACATCTTTCTCAGAAAATACACGAACGTTCAACTAAAAACGGATGAGGGCGAAAGACAGCAACCTCATTAGCGTGGATTTCAGAAGAGAAGTTGAACTTACAGAATGAAATCACTGCATAGTTCGGTAAAATGTGTGCGCGCCTTGTCAGATGTGAGATCTTCCCAGAATCGAGATAACAAACAGGCGACAATCATTCGTGTATTGGGACTGGTGTGCAGCCGAACCTCTTCTATTGCTGAACTAATGGGGTCATCGGCCCGCCGTTTAGCCTCTAGTTGACGAGAGCGACGGGAACGCCAGTTGGTAAGTGCACTCGTCCCGGCTTCTCCTGCAACTTCCAGAAAGCGATCAAGTGCACCTAACGATACAAAACGGAGATTGCACTTAGGGTTGGAGTTGGTAAAAAGGACCAGACAGTGCATCGTCCACATAGTCCGCTTCAAAGCAATCACACACACCAAGCGACCAATCTATTGGTTGCTTACAGTTGCTTACATTTCAACTGTTCTAGTCCGAAGGAAAACAATAATATGATTGCTCATCATACAGTCAATCCCACAAACTGCGAGCAACAGTAAATCAAATACGAATAGCAAACCGATCAGATGCTACACACGTTGTGTAAACAGCTGCCTGTGGCCTATTTTGTTGGGTTTAGACAACAAGAGTTGAAAAAAAACACTGGTAGCAGATGTAGACTCATGAGCTACCTGCAGCCGTATAAAAAATATGATCGTTGGTAAAATGGAACGCTGTGTATTAGGTTTCGTCCACACCTGTCTTCTGGATGTGAACGGAAAATCCATAGTTCGAACCCGACCTCTGCATCTCGACTCCCCCTGTCTAGGTTTGGGCAACCTGGCAGTATTCCAGCCGTCGTTTTTCCTTCGGTGGCATGCCCGCTAGGCACCGAAAGTACGCTACAGCTGAATGATTTTTCAGGAGCTGCGCGGGGTGTTCGGGAACAAAAGTGGAAACAGAAGATAACAAAAAGCTGCATTTAATCCCCCTTGAGATACCACCTCTACTTTCACTTAACAGCCCGGAAGTCGTGCGAAGTTTTTCCATCCGCCTTATGAGCATCGACAGCGTGCACCGAGTGCTGGCAATGACTGAAGCAGCCACTCATCAGAGTGCCAGTTAAATTTCGGTTGAGCTGGAGGCGACCCTAGAAATTTGGGCACTCACAGAGAGGGCTGCCCTGTCGATTTCTTCACTTTCAGTCCACACAACGCGCTCTCCTACTGTGAGTGTTATAATACCTAACTGAAGTGCTACTCGACACTGTGGTGCTCCTTATGACCACTAACGCTCTCAACCAAAAAAGTCCCGGAGGAAGGTCGACACTCAAAACTAAACTGCTTGGCAAAGTCAAACTTCCACCCGGGAGTGAAGGAAACTCAAATCACGCGCCTTAACAAACTGCACGTCGAAATGCTGTTACGTACAAAAAGCTGTAGTAAGATGTCCTTGACTTTGAGACGGCTAAAACAGCCTGAATCACCAGTTCCGCTCACTGTGCTCCCATATTCACCACTGCGTCATGTTTCACCGAAGTGCAACAAGAATGTTTTCACACTTCATGATACAGCCAAGCTCTTTGTCAAAGCGAGATTGGACAGAGTATGCGGCGCAGATCTTTTTAGCCCAAGTACTTGAGAGAACTTGAAGAAAAAACTCATGCTGAGATCTTGTTGATTAATAAGTGACACGCAAAACAGTGATGCTAAGGAGAAAGATATATCGTTCGGTTCGCTTCGGACACACGCGCCCAAATCGTCGGTTGACCAGTAAATCAAAGCCTTCCAAAGTTTACATATCAAATCAGGACTTCGGGTTTATACCAATATGCATGTCGTTTCATTCGAGATGGATCATACGAGGGACACAGTTTGCATGCAGTTCCTCACTACCTAGTCAATCTGCGCGGTTCAAATGGATCCAGTTTAATACAATGCCTCCAGAAGGCTGAAGCCAAAATGAATTCATCCTTCACCGTAACTACATTGACAGCTGAACTTTGTTCAAGACAAGCTGAGGTCAAACATCTTCAGGATGCACGCCCTTTACGGGTAACCACCATTGTTTAGTGGACTTGAACCGGTACAGACAAGAATGCGCTGAGACAATCGATTCAGCATCACAAACATTCGGTTAAGCATAGAATTATCACAAATTTCAATCAGCGATTTTTTAATCCCACTGATTATCTGGTGACTCTACAGATGTCGTTCTGATTGTAAAATCCTTTCGGTATACAATAAAACTGAGGGATTTTTAGTTGGTCTCATCAGGTGAGAGAACCTCAACAAGGAAGCTTAAACTGGCGAAAAACTCCAACCCCAATCATCTCCATCCACAGAGAGCTATTTCCACTGGTTGTACGTTGCGGCTTCTCATTGCGTCCAAATCGATATTCGGAATAAGCGTACTGCTAAACCGTCCGAGTCTTTGTAGGGCGGAATCACTCCCAGCGTATAGTTAACGTTGTGCCATAAATAACTGCCCACCTGAGCGGTAACCGCTGAGCACTATTCCTTTGTAGCGGCTTTTGAGCAGACTGTGCTGTGATCAAGCGCTTGTCTGTGAATTGAAACGTGCCTTATGTGAAAATTCTTCAGTGTTAACATTAGAGGAGCAACGTGTAACTGGTGCATCCCCTGCAATAGTAATGAGAGCGCAAATGAGGGTACGCCATTTGTAAGTCGAACATTTTGACTTGATGGAGAGGATTAAATTTGGCTTATAGAAGCCGTACAGGAATATTAAGTGGGCAATACTTTCAAGAAACCTTCAAAACATTTTACAAACCTTCAAGCTCCACAATTTTTCGCGACCAGCCAATGCCTTTTTCAGACGGGATAAAACGTATGAGCATCTCGAGGATATAGTCCCGGACAGGTGCGGACAGACGGTAACTGTTGACTGCACGTACCATGTGTTGGAATATCTCCTGGACAGGTTCTTCAACCTTGGGGTCTGCAAACAATAATAAACAGATACTTGAGAGGCTCTAGTGACGTTTCAGCTATACTGTGAAGGTGCCTGTTTGGAACCCGGGTTTGCCTTTTTGAGATTTTCCGCACGAAGGATAATTACCATTTATAACTTTCCTACGAATATTGTGCACATATCGTTCAGGATCACGGAATCCGCTGGACGGAACTATTGCAAACCACATATACTGCTTCGACCCATATTACAACTGACTCAAATCTAAACTGAATATAAGCTTCGGCAAGGCGTCGATCTCCGAAACTCACAAGCAAAAAGCCGCCTTATTTAGAGATTTCTGAGAGCAAATGCCCCAAACAATGAACCATTACACAACTCACTAATGTTGTCAGGTGGGACTCATATCCACCGGGCTTTTGGTGGAGCAACTCACATGACCAACTAAGGAAGTCTGAGCAGCCTAGATACATTGGTGGTGGTGCGCAGGCGTGGTGTCGTTAATGATCGAGCAACCACATCTGGTGACTAGCAACATCAACGCATCCAGTTATACGTACACCACACGATTCACAGCCTTCGTTTACCTACCCTGAACAAACTTTTACGAACAGGCCACTGCTGTCTGGACGTGGCACACTACTCATAAGGTTACTGAAAACTCTGTGATAATCCACGACCAGTTTCGCCCTTCATTGGGCTCATCGGGTAAATACGGTCCCGAGTACTAACTGGACCCGAATTGGACGAATTTTGACGAGTACTCTAATTTTCAAACGATCGTTGCCACCTGACATAGATCACAACGATAACCTAACGATCGGCTCTTAAAACCCATCGGTATCTAATGGACGTGCAGCGAATTTGTAGTTGGGAGGTGTGGTCGCCGGCACTTACTGGCCCACAAGCACATTTGACACTGGATAGTTTATCTTCACGCATTTAATCAACTTAATACCACTACAATATCCCAATGGAATTCAACCTTGTTTCTTCTAAAGGGAGCATTTTCCTTGGGCCCATAAAAGATGTAGTTGAGAGTCTCTCAACATAGTTTTCGTGGTGTTGGCGACGACCCAAAGGTGGTATCATGGAAACGGCTTTCCACCGTACATGCCTACGAACTGATCATCAGCATAAAAGATACTAACATAATACCTCTATAAAGCTGAGACTCACACCGAGATAGATCGACAGTTCTGTTTAGCTGGCACAAGACTACGTCGTTTCAGGTGTTTGTTATCGTATATCGCAGCGATGTGTTGATCACCAGTTAGTTGATAAAGCCATTTAACTACGGTTGTTTTTCTAAAATGTTATTAAAATGGAAATGATACTGAAAACACCATATTTTTACTGACAGACAAATCACCTACCTAATTTGAACTTCGGATATATCGTGGGAGCCACCTTAGAGCTTTCTTTGTTTGTGTTCTCCGCCGCTACTTCTCTTGCGTGTTGATAAGCTTTTAGCTGGGTCAAGCCGTCCAAAAGGGCGCTTAGAAACCGACAAGTCTCTAATGCCTGCTCTGGGTTGCGACTGAATATCCGATCGGCAAAATATTGTGGAGTAAGGCACTTCAGAACGAACATACACTAAGAAAGGAAGAAATGGAGATGCAAAAAAACAGCGGATCGACTGTAATGAATGAGCATCGCAGAAAGCAACATTCAATAGTAAAAAACAACCATGGTTAATAACAACATTCGTGTCGTTCAGCTGTAGTACCTTTTCGGCGCCCAGCTGCCAAGCCAACGGAAGAAGGCACGTGGGCTGGGATATAACCAGGTTTCCAAGCTAAGACAGGGGAAGTCGAAAGGCAGATGTCGGGTTCAAACTACGGACCTTTAGTTCAGTAGATTCACGCTCTAAACACTGAGCTATCTCGTATCATGATGACAACATAAAGAAATTTAGTCTATTTATGCCCATATCTGTAGTGCCCCGCCCTAGGACAATCCCCTCAGGAATGACAAAGCCAGTTGTTCTAGGGAGAGAAGTTGCTGCGAAGGGGGACTGTTGGCCTTCTTCCTATCCAAAAGTTTTATTAATGATTCTAGTGTGGTATATAACAGAGACTACTTTACGTATTGTTTCATGTACCGCATTGGCACATCGCTCTATATCAATAACACGGCATCAGAAATTTACCGCTAAACTAATCAACTTCATGTAAGCTAACAAGCACTTTTTCATTCCCTAACGGCTGTCTTATTCAAATTCATGTCAAACCCCTTATTGTTCGTTGTGCAACACTGCTGCTCAAGTTCCTCAATAATCTGTAAAATGAGACGATGACGGGATATCCAGGTGAAATTCACTCGAATCTGTGGTTCAATAATATTATTCAACTGTCCAGGGGATGCCTCAGAGTATAGCTGGAAAGATAATCAATATATGTTTCAGTACTACTCAAAAGATCTATGAAAACCCTGGACGGCCACCATCTGCTTGGGGTTCATCAGTTAGTCCCAGTTCTCGCATTTCCATTAACCTCATTTCTCTTTTGGACGTTGGATTGTACCTATGCCGCAATAAACACTTATTTGCAAATAACGCTTGTATTAAAGGGAGAACTAGCTGGAATTTGCCCGAAACATAAGTAGAAAATGAATGCTTATCGCAACATAAGCATGATTTGGAGTTGAAGTGGGAAATGAGGTTCACGGATACTTGGGAACACGCCTTACTGATGAGCTCTAAAAAGGGGGAAACCCGTAATCGGCTATCCACCTACTCTTCTCCGTCCTGACTGAGCACTGAATCTGTAGCGTTTCTTCTTGAGTTGTCGATGTCTACATCAGCAAAAGGATGAAGAGTGCACCGAAGAACAGATAACAGAACAGAAGTACGAATGAAAACGGTGGAGTCAGAAATCTGGAAGACGGACGGTAAGGAATGAAGCACCGCAGGTTGTACTTGCATCTTCAGAGCTCGAACAGTAGACTAATCCTGTGCCTGTGTACAACAGAATAGCACACCAAACTATACACCTCTGGATTACAGAGGTAAATAAACCGCCGCACGACAGTTAGACATATCCTACTTGCGAAGGTCCTGTTACCAATCTAGAGGACAGCCACGGACCAAGTTCGTATGCAAAATGAAGTGAATTGGATTCAATATGGAAGGAAAGGTGCGTTACAGGATTCGGGAAGCGATCGACTCCCGGCCCAGTAGTGATTTTGGAAACCAACCGAGTGGACCCCGTAAAATCTTCACTCAGCCACGAAGCAGGTATGTGGCTCACTCCATTTTGATCTAAGAAATAATGCGACCAATCAAGACGTGAGACACCTACGTGAGCACTTAACCCAGTTTCCTGCCATCCCATGGATGTTGTTGATAGTTATGCTTACAAAACCAGGGCGTTTATCACACCCACTCATTGGGGGTTACTTCTGACTGGATATGAATGCCAAATTCTTCCAAAAGGAACCAGGGGGATCTCTGGCTGAGGCAATTAAACACTGAAGCTGGTATACCCAATGAGAACTAGATAAAATGTTTTTGAAGTGAGAGCAATAAAGGGGACGGAGAACCTTTGGCACACATGCGCAAAGTCGGACTTACGCGATCCATATGATGTTCGAAGGTGTGAGCCATCAGGCGGTGAACAGCCCGGACAATTTTCTGATCTGCATGTTTACACAAGTCAAACAGCTCGGCAAAATGTGGGTTTCCCCATATTAACGAGGCTGCAGTGGCCCCCACTTCCCCGATCAAAGCCGTCAAGTTGTTGATAGCCTTCAATTCAAGCATACACCTTGGGGGGCATAGTGCATACCTTCTCAAGCTTTTCTTCATTTTTCGACTCCGTCTGGATTAGATCAAACATAGAGGTTATCTTCATAGGGAGGCTATCTGATTCTGCAATGCGTTGGGTCACGGAATGTTCAACCCGGCGAATCAGTAGTTGAGCAGCCGTGTTTTTCGGTTCCAAGCGTATAAGTTTTTGCGCATCTTCTAGTGCCGATTGCAATGCTCCCAACTTCTCATAGGCTTGAGCCCGGCGGAATAATGCCTTGGGGTCAAGTGGATTTAGATTGAGAGCTGGAATTTCTAGATAATTCAAAGACCGACTTCGAGACTAACCATCTGTCGCAGCCTTCACAGCGTTCTCATAATCTTCAATTTTTAAAAAAGCCTGGGCTTTATTGCTGTGTAGAATACAACGTAACCGATTGTCTGACTGAGATTCCGCCAGGCATTGATCATAGAGGGCGATTGCTTCACGAAATAAACCATCCTTAAACAAAGAATTTGCCTTTTCCTTCAGAGCAACTAGCTTTTCCATACTGAAAAAAGAAGACAGGGTACTTTTTAGGAATTAAGCAAACATGTGGTTTGGACCGGAAATCAGTTTCAAAATAGTCAACACTCATCGTCCCAATCAAGTGTAGCTGACGAGACGCTCCGATGATACTCTGCACTGTTTCGAGGGCATCAATCAATTTCACTCGATGTGAAGACCGCAGTGTTGTTAAAGTCCACATGTGCTTCAAAGGATCGCGGTTTTGACGCTTGGAACGAGTTGCCAGAGCTGTTTAGACGGCTAAGTACCTCTGAAGTGTTCATCATCATCACCGACACCGACAGCAACACCAGATGAAATCATTGCTCATTCATTGTCGTACAACCAAGTCAATTTATTCCAATAAAGCCACACAACAGAAAAACTGGGACAGGGAGAGGAGTCTAGTGGTAGCCTACAAAAACATACGAGGTGTCTACACACTCACTGCCCAATAAGACAGTTCGGATAGAGTTTGGAGACAAGAACGCCATTAACATCAGTTACCTGCCACATCTCTGTCTGCAACCAAACACAGAGAATCGCCTGCACCCCACTCTGGAAGACGAACAGTATTAACAGTCCCCAAACCTCCAATACCCTTCGGTCCATTCTTCAATGTCGAATTACGTCCATCTCTAAGTTTCCGCCGTTCCGATTAGGGCACAGATTTCAGTATTCATCCCGGTAGGCCGCAAATCGGCATGCGAAACACATAGTTGAGCCAGTTTAACTCGCAGTAATGGGTGCACTGCTTGAATGAAGCACCGTCTGCTGATAATCTCATTCTGAATTCGTTGGATCCAGCCTATTCCACCAATAGCTCTACGGCGTCGATAACCAATGACAAAGACGTCTCAAATCCTCCGCTCGAGTTGGTCAGGTACAACAGTACAACCGGCGTGGTAGTCTGAACTCAAAATATCCCAGAGGTTACGAACCCCAATGTTCGTGGTTCAAACCCGATCTCGGGATCTCTACGGCTCCGGTTTAGGCATGGGCTGACAGTATCTGAGCTCTCGTGCTTACTTCGGGTGGCATGGTAGCTATTCACTGAAAGGGTGTTACAGCGGAACGATTGATTTGATTGACTGCAGCCCAGTGGGACCAACCAATGTGCCTTTTTGATGCTACAAGCGGGAAAATTGGCATAAGTCACTCTGGTCTCCGAACTACATGTTCCATAATTTCTTAGTTTAATTCTTGAGTTCTTGGTCATGTTGAAACGCCTGAAGTTCTGCAGCATGACCTTACACTTTGTAGGCGCGAAGCACAAGCCGAAGGACTGGATGACTTCGATGGGCTTTCTAGTGTCGCTTGCCTCGAGCTAAAGCTACCAACTTGACGAGGCGTTCGGGCCTAAGTGCTGCAATGACAACACGGGTTATACTGGCTGGAACTTCTTGCCACAATGTGCAACCATGCCAGGAGGACCAAAGGTGAGCAAGCAGATCAGGAGTAGCGACACCCCGTACTACGTACAATTATACTACGAGGCGTTCTGGGGTTTACGTCGTACGTTCCCTATGATGGGAGTGTGAAGGCACTAGCGTTTTCTCCAGAAAACCAGCAATACCGTAATCATTGAAGAAGTGATGTTGCATCGAGCAAGGTTGGGTTGGGAAAGAGGGGTCCTAACAGCCGCACTCACCGATCACCCAACATCATCATCATCATC